GGACGTGCTACTTCGGCTGTGCGTCCTGCGTCATCAACCCGGAACTAAAGTTCGATTCAGTTCGATTTGTGAACCGGCTCGACCGGTTACTTCCTGAGAACCGGCTCAAAAGAACGATTCGTTCAAGAACCAAACATCACTAGTTGCTAGTCTGTCATAACGAATGAGGGGTTTTCTGCCATAAACGTTAATATCTCGTTCTAACTGCGTTGAACTTTAACACGGTTTCTCTTCAAGTACACGAGTGAGACAGCGACGCCAAGGGTAAACTGCTCGCGTGCATGTAAATGACATTATTCTAATAATCTATATTATAATCCATATTTAAATTCGGTTTTGTGAAAGTGCTTATTTTCTTAACAGATGGCTAGTTCAAGAAAAGTGGTCGAGTTTTTCTATGATATTGTTTCTCCGTATTCCTGGCTGGCATTTGAAGTGCGTATTGTTTTTCTCATTTAACGTAACGTTAGTTAATTGCAATCCAGTTTGCTCAAGATGTTCTCATATAATGTGTTGATTTTGTGTTTTAAGGTGCTGTGTCGCTATAGAAATGTTTGGAACATCGACCTCAAATTTAAACCAGCATATTTAGGGGGAGTCATGCATGACTCAGGTAATGGGTGTTTATATATATATATCATCAAAAACCGTTCTAGATTCTTCAATGAAAATGTGTTTTTATCTAGTCTAAGAATGCATTATTAGTTTTTTTTTAAATACCAAAAGAATGTGGTATTTATGTTGCATTGTTTTATAAACAAGTTAATATATTATAAAATTTCTTCTATTTTTAGGCAATCGGCCCCCTGGAATGGTCCCAAATAAGTTTCATTACATGACCAAAGATCTGGAGCGGGTGGCTGGCTATTTTGGCGTTCCGTTGTATCCACCTTCAAACGTTTTTGAGGCAATGTTTGAGAAAGGTATTCAAATCATGACCAAATGCACAATGCAAGCCATACTTGCAGATTTTTTTTCTGTCATATAGATATGTTTTAAGAGCAATTTTTGTTTAAGGGAAAATATTTTTTAATCACTTTCTGTCACAATCTCTTTTATCATCCATCTTTCCATGTAGGCACTTTGAATACCATGCGTTTTGTGACAGCTGTAGCAGAGAAGGAAAAAGAGGGAGACGTGCTGGTGGAAAGGGTATCTAGAGAGCTCTGGAAAAGAATCTGGAGTACTGATCAGGACGTTACCCAGCCTGCCTCCCTTACTGAGGTATCCTATACCCAAGATTAGCTGTTTTTAAAAGAAGAGGTGTCAGATGCAGAACCTGGTTTGTAAAATTGCTAATTAGAATTCATTTACATGTTCTATCACCTATTATTATGCCATAAAACTACATACATGAAAATTTTCATCATAACCTCTGTTGTACTTCACCACTATATTAAAACAGATTTGTTTTGTGTTGCACAGGCAGGATTAAAAGCAGGTCTCTCGGCCAATGAGTTGGAGGAAATTCTGACCCTCTCCAGATCTCAGCCAATCAAAGACAAGCTGAAGAGTGTCACACAAGAAGCACTGGACTATCAAGTCAGTGCCTTTTACTTGCGTCTTTGCACTCTGTCTTTCTAACTAGAATGTCTTTGTGGTAAAAATGTAATGCATATTCCTTACAGTGATCTCTCCATTTTTGCAGTGCTTTGGTTTTCCTTTCACTGTGTGTCATGCGAACGGGAAAGCTGAGCTCTTCTTTGGTTCTGACAGATTTGAGGTCATGGCTCATTGCATCGGTAACCATGGATTTGTACTATAGTCTAATGGCTATATTTATCATACCCATTTCTTGGTGGTTTATTGCACTTGATCATGTTTTGATCCATAAATTCCTAACTAACCTTAGGATATTAAAATCTAAAAATATATTAAAATGTTCTATTCATTGTCCAATCGTTGTCTTTCTTTTGTGTTACAGGGGAGAAGTGGGTGGGGCCTCACCCTGACAAACCCACATCCAAAATGTGATCATTGCTCTCCTATACTTCTAAATAAAATGTTATAAATGCTATACATTCACATTGCTCTTACAATATAAACTTCCTGAATTCAAAAGAGAGGAAAAAAGCTGTGGAGACAGAAATAATAAGATATATGTCTATATACTCTACTGTTCAAAAGTTTCTTCTGCTCACCACGGCTGCATTAATTTAATAAAACATACTGTAAAAACGGTAATATTGTGGAATATTATTGCAGTTTAAAATAAAGTTTTTCTCTTTTAATATATTTTTAAACGCAATTTATTGCTGTAATGGCAAAACTGAATTTTCAGCAGCCATTATTCCGGTCTTCAGTGTTACACTAAAGATTAATATAGTGTGACTGTTGGACAGTAGCCTATAAGATATTTTCCATTGTCACTTCACACTCCAGTCTAGTAGGTGGCAGAAATACACCATAAACTGATCTGACAATCGCCATTCAATGGAATAAGAAGAAATATATCCTGAAATAGGAGTAGAGAACAACACCAAGGGTAAGTTACACACATGCATGTAAATTACATTATTCCAGTTTTTCAACTGAGAATACTGTAACCATGATGTAACCAAACGCAGCTGGTAAAGTCACAGCACGTCAGCCAGGATTTTCACTCTTTTATGAACAGATTCAAAGACCTTCAAGGACATTTTCCATTACCTTCCGTTTCATATCAAACGCCTATAGAAATCACATTCCAATATATATGTAATTGCAGTATCGTATATAAATTTTTTTCATATGTTTATACATTTAAGAACAGGTAAGAACTGTTTTAATCAAAATCGAAAGTTTTGTGGCTTTTTCATGCATGAAGGTTATCCTTACGGTTATCTAGAATGTAGTGCGATTCAAAACTAAGACAAAAATTCACATTTAGAAGATATATCGTGTCTCTCTATACAATAAAGATCAACAATGTTGATGATTTTAATCATTTTAGATGATCCTTCTCATCATGTTTCCTCCCCAGTCAAATGCACTCTAGAATCTGAACCATCCCACCCCCTACATTATAAGAAAAATGAAATGAAGTTATTCTCATGCTGGCCTATTCATGTTGGTAGATGTTATAAATAATATGCTTCTTCATTACAAATGTTTAGTTCTGGAAAAGTGGTCGAGTTGTTCTATGATGTTGTTTCTCCGTATATTCCTGGCTGGCATTTGAGGTGCTTAATGCTTTTTTTTTTTCTTAAAGTAGTTAATTGCAAAACAGTCTGCTTAAGATATTCTCATATATGTGTTGATTTTGTGTTTTAAGGTGCTGTGTCGCTATAGAAATGTTTGGAACATCGACCTCAATACTCTTGTTACAGCAGAAATATAATTTGTAAAATACACTGTACTTTTTTTTTTTACCCTTGCTGCAGCTAACCTTACTTCCACAGGCTACAAACAGCAATATAAACAACAGCTGTGCATGCTCTCTTCACGCAGTTCTTGTATAATTATAATAATAATTTAATAATATAAGTATACAAGCACACCGCTCCGCTGAGAACATAGACATCATTTAAAGGCTTTCGAAATATGTGTATCAAATACGATATGTAGGCTTTACAAGGTTAAAGTCTCAAAACAGTTCAGGTGAAGAAACCTCTTTCAAAATAACTCGGTAGACAAAAACTCCATAAAACAGTTTTAAAAGTTGAATGTGAAAATTACATCGGGCCTAGGACCATTCTACAGTGTGTGTTTTCACAGGCTTATTTTCATCCACATAAAATTCAATTAAATATTCAAAATTCAACCCCGATTAAGATCTATTGTATTAGATTAAGTTATTGAGTCCAAGAATAGTTTTGTTTTTGTTTGTGAAGTTTGTTCATAATATGTTATATTAATAATGGTTGTTAAGCTACCATAACTAATGAGTGGCCTTCTGCCATAAATAGTGGATCTTGATTTGTCTCTCATTCTAACTGCATTGAACTTTAACAAGGTTTCTCTTC